AATTGGTTATGAAAGTTTTTATGACGATGCAATCATAGCTATAGTTCAGTAATTCGAATATAGGTGGCACAAAATGTACCTATTTGTATTAAATTACTAAAAGTCAAGAAAAAACAAAAAAAAACAGATTCAATTCATCTTTTAAAGCAATAAGAATAATAATAAATGATGTTATTACAAGCAGAGAGTGAAAGATTAATCTGCATCACGCGTGTTTTTGCTTACAACGCATAAAAAGTGTTAATTAAACAATTAATATTCAGGCACGTTATCGTCGTCGAAAAATCGCAACGCAATCTGCTTCAACCGAGGCGGTAGTGGCGGGCGCTAGCATTCGACTCATTACTTATTTCTGTGGGAAAAAATGCGGCATTTTCGCTGGGGCGTTCGTCGTTGTTTGTTGTTCGCATTAAAAAGCGCTCGCACAATACGTCGTGCATGGCGCGCGTAATTTGTGGCCGCGACCGTTGTGCTCTCTTTTTTATGGCGTGCTGGTGTGCTGGAGAAGACAATGCCACGCATTTTAAAAAGCCCCAGTTTTTTACGCGCCGTTTTTTGCTATTGCCCACCCTCAATCATCGGAAGAAAAGAGCATCGTCACAATAACCTCACGTAGATGCGCTATCAGGGCTATTTGTTTTATGCATATGCATGCTCGAAATAATAAACGTGCACATTATCCCTGGTCGCTCGTTGATGCGAAGTTTGGAACACATGTTTTGTTCGCCTAAACGAGCGTGACTGTGGCGGTAATTGCTATTTTTTATGTTTCATCCTAATGAGCATCAGGCGAGGATGCCGTTGGTTAAACTGAAATATTTTTTACTAATTTACAAGAAACTATGATTTTTCTTCAGAATCCAAGCGATAAAAAGTTATTTTAGGACAAAATTTACTTGCATTAAATTTTCTTTTAGTTTTGTTTTATTATATTAACAAAATTATACCACACCGTGAATTAAAATTGGATTATACCTGAAAATCCTTGCATGTCCGGAATGCGACTCCGTCATACCCGAATAAACCGCCTATCAAAGCGAACTGAGGAAATCAAATCCATAGCCGTGAACACAAAGGGAAGAAGCGAAGCGTGCGGGAGACGTGAGCGACGCTCACACTATATTCCATTATACGATCGTGCAAGCTGTGCGACGACGACGGCGGCAGCAAAGGGACGAAGGACCGTAAGGACAAGACGCAAATCAACACGTTTACGACGCACTGCGAGTTACTGCCACCGTCAGCATTTCGCAAACGTTCGCACCTAGACACAACCCTTCAATTTGAATATGCAAATAACTATTAAACTTGTTCAATGATGTGTGTACGAAGTAATTCAAAAAACTTGAAATCGTTCAGTTCGAATGATTTCCGTTACAGAGAAAAAAAAACATCTTCTTTTACATATGTTCAGAGACTCTCGTCACTAACGTAGATAAATCGGCTTGCGTGGGATTTCTTGAAATCGAGAAGTAAGTAAGACAGTATAAGGACTATTATGGGATTCGCACCGCTCGAGGAAACTCCCCTTGCTCACAACACAAATCCGCACGAACAAATTGGCGTAATTCATTTTGCAGCTTTTACGCGAGCCTGGCCTGTGCGAATCGATGCGCCTCGCAGCATGTAAGTCGTTGGGAAAACTTTGTGCTTGTTTTAATCCGCGCTGGTGGAGCTTAATCCGGAAGCGTCTTTGCTGCCAAAACCGCAAAATATGAGTTATATCTGTATATTCCGGAAGCCAAAAAAAAACTTTCGGTTAAAAATACACTCATAACTTTCCAGACATTCTTCGGTGCGCGATATTTATGATAGCGGTGTAAATAGAAACACAATAAGAATGCAAAATGGAATAAATATATGCATCGGTAATTCAAAACCTGAAAGTAACAAGATCCCGATGGCAATAGCAGGAAATAAACTTGTTTTTAAGCGTCGGGATGATCGTATCCTGCTGTTGTCTCTGTCTGCCTGCCAAAACAAAGGTTTTATTATAACCGCGGTAGCTAAGTGGCCAATGCAAGATGTTGGTGGATGTAAGAAGAGCAGGTGTTCTCGTCGACCGCTTAAGAGTTTCCAGCGGCTTGGGGTTTACGCTAAAAAGTCGATTTTTCAACCGCGCCAGGCGCGGCACAAATAAGGCAATTCATAGTCATCCTCCCGCAAATTCTCCTCTTTCATTCTATAAGTATAATCGTATTATTAAATAAGAACTTGTAAGCGGCTTTACTAGTGTGGAGGCGCCGGGCAACGCGCAAAAAAATTTTATTATGTTATATTAAATACGTTGCATACAAATGTGACACAAACATACATCCTTTACCGAACACAAACTTTAAGAACAATTAGATACTAGTTTTGAGTTGCAACCGGGGTAAATTCGATCAGTGAAACAACATCTAGGAAAGTTTACGGCGCTGAATGTGAGCCGTGTGCAGTTAGTTAACTTGGAAGTAGTTGAACTACTGAAGAAGTTTTGTGCGCGACGTTTAAAGTGCATTAATGCGCTCGGATTGGCTTGATGGTCTTTGTTTATTTATGTGCGGATTGTCGTAGATTGTATGCGGGGCATGTTCCTGCAATTATTTTTGGCTGACGCCCGCACTTAAAGGGTAATTTTATAGGTTGTAATCATTTTTCCGGGTTTACCAATATAGTTAAATTTGCATACTGGATACTGGTTTAGATAATGCACGTTTTCACAATGCGGAAAAGGTGCATCGTAAACAAAATATTCATAGCAAATATTTTCATTAATATTTATTAGTGTAGCATTAAATATTGTCATGAAGCACAATATAAGTTGTGTAAAATGTTGCCATGACGCAATCAAAAGTAAAAGGTACGAATTTCTATAGATATTTGCTGAGAAGGTTTGTTAGGTTTGTTAGGTGGGTAAAAGTCATCCACGGTCACATCGTATCGTGCCTTATCTCCATCATCCGGTCCCAAACATTTTGTATCTCGCGCGGCACGTTTCCCATCCGCTTTCATTTAAAATACGAACAACGTTGATTCTTCGCGACGCTGATGCCTGATGGCGATAGGCGCGCCGCGTTAAATTTGATTACGCGCACGTATGCGCGAAATATGCGCCGAATATCAAAACTCGGATGAATCGAAACGCAAAACAAACCGAGAGCCAGGCGTTACCTTTCTTCCGGTTTAACGAGAGTGGCGATAAATTTGCGAGATTGCTACCACCCACGCTTTTAATAATAATTATTTCACACTTGTAATTGAATGAATAATTTTAATTGGAGTTGCTGTAAAAAAGCTAATGATTTATTGAGAAATTGTTGGTTCAATTCATAAAAAAATATATTTTTATTAGTTTGTAATTTTTTAGCTTTGCTTTGCTCGTGACGAGTGTTAATTTAACAGAAAACTTGACACTCATCGATCCTAATCCGAAAAAACAAAATTGAATCTAAACAAAATGCAGTCGAGTCGCCCGTGCCTTATCTTACTCCAAAGCTGAATGGGTCCAATCGGAGAAGTGACGTCAGTGTTAAGTTCTTCGCTCCGTTGGATGTTCTACAAATCTTGATAGTTTTCCGAATTTCGCACTTTCTTTCTGCTAAAAAGCTTATTAAATCACAATGAACTAACCACAAAATTAAACAAATCACCTGCCTGTTAACAAACAAACAAAAAACATTTTACAGATAGAAAAGTCGAAGATTTATTTCTGCTCTACTTTTACATTTCGCTAGCAAAACTAACGAATTTATGTATGAATGAGCAGATTTCCCAACTCAGAGTTGAATGATGACTAGGCACGTTTCTGACGACGTGACCGGACGAACACACAAAAAAAAAACAAATATTTATTTACATCCTCCATAGAACGCACGAACATTGTCGGCGTTTGGGATTTGTTTACTGCATTTAACATCAGCGGCTTTGTACATTTATAATCGGATATGTGGATTAATCTAACGAGCTTACTTTTCGTTTATTTCATGCTTCGCAATATACAACAAAAGTTTACAGTAATTCATTACTAATCAAAACAGCTTTGAAACAAAATGTGCACATTGATGCAAACAACACATTAATAAAAAAATATTCCATCAAAGTTTGTGTTGTGCACGCGTGCGAGTTTAATAGTGAAACATCAGCATTTCAGTGTTTCAGCAGTAAGCCATAGTAGAAATTTTTATCGCACTGACGACAAGCCGTAATTTCGTCGTCAGTTTCCACGCGAACCAGTTATTTTCTCGCCGTGAGCGCGCGCTAGTACTGCAATTAAAGGGCAGAACAATCGTTGGTGGTGAAAGGAGTAGCATCGATATAATTCCTCATTAACCACAAGAAGACGATAAAAGTAATAGAAAGATCAATAAATATGCCGAAACGTCGTTACAGGTAAGTCGATGTAAATGTAAATGTCAAAACTATGTATATGTAAAATGTATCTATTTTTAATCGACCAGTAAAAGTGGCTTGACTCTAAAAGCTAGAGATATTGAATATTAGATAATGTAATGGATTGCACTTAGATTTTAATCCATTAAAAGTTTAAATATTGATTTGCAAGAGTATTGTAAATATACTTGTGTAAAATTAAGCTTTTTTGCTTACATCAATCAGCAACGTTTTTTATTTTATTTTTGTAATCACATAATACGTATATCAATTTTTTTAAAGTTTTTCCACAATAGTAACTAATATCTGTTAAAAATAAAAATAAAATTTAAGGAATTTAAGAATGGAAATTAATTAAATTAGAAAAAATATTGTTGAAATATAATGCAATCAGAACTGTAGAATACAAAGATGTAGAAATTTTGTAGTGTTTTCTGGATGTAAATTGGCGATTTGTAAAAGTACACTCCTGGTACGCCTACGGTGGTGCTCCTTTGCTCCTTACTCCTGCTCCTACTCTCGCTGCTGGTTTCTGCCCTGCCACGTTCGATGCGCGCCGGCCTGCTGCCGACGTTTCTGGTCTCTGTGCGAACGGTGCGCGCTGCCGGCCTGCCGCTGCTGCTGTTCAGTTCGTTTTCAGTCACGATCGTGTGCCGTTCGCTCGCCGCGCCAGCTTGCACACATCGAGCAAACAGCCCGCCAGCCGAGACGGGTCGAGGTCCTGCGGTGTGGTTAAATAATACACGCGCCGAGAAGGAGCAATTTCGAGCGCCATCGATTCTGAATCATTCGTCGTTGGCCGAATCGATACTACCGTGCGAATGCAAATTGGATGACATTAATAATAAACGCTGTAATAGAATCAAGCGATTATTTGCGGGGCGCTTAATTGCCGAGGCAAGTTTAGCCGCCTATATACACTGTAATTGGTGTTAATTGGTTATAATCTAAAGCGAAAAGTTGGGACAGTTGCGCAAGGATGCGTTTGCTGTCGGCGGAAAATTTGTGACTCTATTTGTGAGTGGTGTGCATGTGTGAGGGTGGGCTTTTGTGTGGGTGAGTGGTGTGTATGTGGGGGTGTGTGACGCTCTCGCCGATTGGTTATTAATGACATTTGCCGCAAAGCTGTGTGTATGGATTTTCAAACGGTGGTTGAAAAAACAATTTGATAAATAAACGGGAGCGAGTTTATTATTGGTGAGTTTCGATTTATATTTATTTATATCAATATTATTTTATCCTCTTATAAACTTTTTATTATGCACTTAAATATTTCAACTTCGATTTCTTGCATTTTCTTGCAGCCATAGTTTTTTCTTGTTAATTAATTGCGTATTTGAAAACGTGCCGCAGTTATTTATATTAATAGTATTAATACCGACGTGTAATTAATGATGCAACACACTTCTGGTTTTAGTAGCTTTGAATTTGTGACAAAAATTTTGGCTCGATATTCGTCGGACGTGTGCTATTTACGCACTCGATTTATAAATATTGGTTTGGTTGTATCCAAGGTTTGAAAGTGCGTCGCCGCAGATGAGGATTATGTATATTAATATCTGATGATTGCCGATGATAATTTATTAATAGGTGACACGAATTAAACATTTAAAATAGCGCCGAAAGTGAAAAGTTGAGTATTTCATTGCGAGCGTGGCGCATCCGTTCAGAAATAATTTATATCATCGGGAAAGTTGCGTGGACGAAAAATGTAGCACCTGAAAATCAGGAATAGCGCACTGGCTATTTTATTCCTTTACTCTTTTAGTAGTAGTACTAGTAGTGGTATGTTATTGATTTCGTTGGAGCGTGTTGTAAGCTTTAACACTTTGATTCAAATGTGGAACAAGACTAAAGTTTAGTTTTTTTTTTACCGTTTGACGTTTACGATTTTGTAATTGAAATTTGCGAGCGCATCTCAATTACACGCTCTTGGTTTTTTAATTATGCGTTTGTGCTTTAAATATCCAGCGGCCAAGAGCTTGGATGACAAGTGATGAATCTAGGATTTATGATTGTTTAACTAACGAAACGTCGTGTGGTTGCTGCTGCTGTCGTGTGGAAATTTTTCCGCACGACTTGGTCGTTGATTTTAGTTTTTTTTTTTTGTTCGTTTCGTGACGTGTTGTGTGCTTGCGTTCGTGTCGCTGTCTTAATTAGCTGCGCGCCCAGATTTGCCGACGCCGATAGCCGCGCGCGACGCCTGACGTTGCGACGCTGCTGCTAGTGGTATTTTGATGTATTATGGAAAATTGTCACGTCGAAGCGCGTCGTCGAGCGATACGCGACGCTCGAATAAGTTGGAAAAGCGCCGCGTGCGGAAACTAGTTTGATTTATCTAAAACAGCTGTTTGAGCTGCGTCGGTTATGTAAATCGTTCGTTGACGATATTAGCTGAATGGAGGGGAGATTTGTGTCAATTGTAACAAATTATTCATCACCAACAGTCGGAAAAAATACGAAAATTTTCTCATAGATGTGAGAATCGACTATTTTTATAGGAGATTTTTAATTTTTATTGCGTTTTTTTTTTATTTCAAACTTGATTAATGAAGAGATCCACAAGTTTACCCGCCGAGGGACTCAACTATAAATAAGCGCGCACCGCACTCGAGAGCAACTCTCGGGGCAAATTAAATTACGTAAAAATGTCGCGTGAATGAAGAACGCGCGAGCGTATAAATGTTATTATTAGATTTGAAAAAGTCGAGGATAACTCTCTCCTCGAGCTTAATTCTGCGCGCGCACAAGCGAGAAATTCTCATTAATGGCAGGAAATTAATACGAGAAAACATTTAAAATTGTGCCGCGTGACTGAAAAAATGTTTGCCTTTGAATTTGCGCTCCAGGTTGGTCCAGACCCTGGCAGTAGGAGCTCTTTTTTTCGGCCGAAAAGATTAATGATTTCGGCATTGTTGCGGCCCGGCTGCTTCCGGGATTGATGGCAAAAAGTTGGCATGTCGAAATGATTCCACCCAATGTTTTTCGGGATGCTGTTTTGAATTGATTTTTCCATTTTTTTTTTCGGTATCCACACGAAAAATGTATTTTGTAATATAAACTCTTGTATAGTGATACGAAACTATTTATTATTCTGGAGGAAAATGTGCGCGCCGCCTGTAGCAATGGATAAGCGCGTAAAACGTTTGCATTATCAAAGCTTTCAGAAATGCGCGAAAGCTTTCCTCCGCTCTCTCTCTTCGAACATTCTCTGGCGTGCGCGCAAACTCTTAAACCTTAAACACATTATCCGAGTGTGTGCGTGCTGCGTTTATATTGGGACTATAAACTCTGCACAGCCAAATGAGAATGGCAATTACTCTGCGTTTACCGATTTGAAATGGTGCATTTTCTATGGTGGAGGAGGCATCTGATATACGTATGTGTGGGAATGTCATTTTCCTGTTTATGCAAATGCCGTTTTGCGGTCATTTTACGGCGTGTTGGAAGATGCTGTCGGCAAGTAGTTGTAGTAGTAGTGACCAATGCAAGCGGGTAGTAGTTGGAACTTTTACGCGAGTCACTCGAAACCCGTTTTGGCTTTGGTTGACATCGCGGTGCATGATTTTCATCTGCGGTTGAGATTACTGTCGCTCGGGATGTAAATCTCACAATTTAATGTTGTGATTTTGTCCGGTTGACTATTACGATTATTTGAATTCAATATAATTTCCTGTTTCTGTGGTCATCTGTTCATCTGTCCATTTCGCCTGTGAACATGTCAGCCTTGTGTCCTGGGTATCCAGAGTAGAATTCTCGAGGTGGAAAAACTCACTTACGTCCAGTTTGTAACTGAAAGCTGAGCGCTTGGCGTGGCGAAAACTGTCCGAGCGTAGCCGATAACAGGAGAGCAGCAGCAAAAGTACGCTACACTTGCTGACTTGCTGCTGCTGGATTATAAATAGGATATTCCTGTACACTGCGTGTGTGTTTTTTTTTTCTGCCCTCGACATCATCGAAGCATGCATAGCTCTGATACAGGAAGACCTATATAGCGCCGCTGCTCATCTCACACGAGGAGCGTTTGATTAAGCGGTCGGTGTAAGCCAGCAGTGAGCTGTGAATAATGAATATTTCGATGAATATTTGGATGTGAATTTATGATATTTTTACTAATTCACTGGTTTAAAAATTGCTCTCAAGAAATTTGCGTTGGTGGTAGTAGTAGTTTGTAAGTCATTTCGAGGTGTGTTGTGTCGTTGGTAAACAATGGGAGTTGACCTGAGCGAATTTCACATGAAGTTGATAGTGCGCCCATGAAATAAATAATTGTCCGGCATGGAGCGCCGAGCAGACGGACGTAAACACGATGCCAGTCTGCTGGCTGTGCTTCTATATGGGTTTTGGATTTGTGTGTGTTTGCCGTGAATCAAGGTGAACCAGAACCGCGTCTGACCGGTCATGTGTCTGCGCTGCCCGCGCGCCACTCTCATTGTTCTTATTTTATGTAGTGTAGTGTGCGAGTACGTGCCCGTTGAGCCGTGGCTCGACGCTCGACTTTATTATTTAAAACTTGCAAACACGTATGAGGGCACAACATGCAGCCAAACTGTTTTCTCCAGAGCCCCGGTATGATGTGGTATGTATTGCAGTTTTTCAACTTGGGATTTATTAATTTACCAAGGAAAATCTTTGATAAACTGGTGTTAAACAAGTGCTCAACATTCGTTAGCGCAAGTTGACTTTCTCAGTAATTAAAAAACAAACTAAAAATGTTTTTAATTCTCTTTCTAATCGTGGGAACGGTTTGGTGAAAATATTTGTCGCTGATTTTGTTTCGCCTTTGTTTGCTTCCTTTTTTATATATTGCCAAGGCTGGGTCGAAAATTTGTCATGCATTGTTGTTCGGCTCAACATCTACATGATGATGATGAAAAATCAATTCGGCAGTGCCGTTCGTCAGCACAATGAGCAGCTAATAACAATCGCGATTATGACCGCGTTCATGCAAGGTAAAACTTGGTACAACGCGCCGAGAATTGATCATTTCTATTTGGTTTAACATGCCGCTTTGTGTTTGCTTGACGCTTTAACCATGTTGGAAGTATAGGTAGCTGATATTTTTTTACTTTCTACCGCGCTGCTGAAATGTGTAACGATTCATCGCTATTGATCGAAGATGGTTTGTTACCCTTGTAATAATGGCGCAACGTAAGTGGCTCGCGCCAGACCCGGTTGGATAACACGCGATTGTTGCATTAGTAATCAAACAATTGCTGGAATAGTACGAGCACCCCTCGAAAGTTCATTTTAGTGTTGGGGGTCAATGGTGATTAGCTGCAAGTTCTAAGTATCAAAAGTGTCACGTGTGACTTTTAACATATCTAGTTACTCATTTGCTGCTGTGTGATACGAGTTTAGATGAATTTTTGGTATTGTTTGATGAATTTGTGCATTGGCACGTTGAGTTGTTCATAAATAAACATGCGCGCGGAATTGCAACGCACTTCGATTGGTGTTATTGATGTCGGTGCGGCGTTTCCATTATAGCTTGTCCTTCAATGGGTTTATTTATGTGAAATTTTTATATACTCTTTTTATTTTCGAAATCTGGTTTTGGGCGTAGGCATTACTTGCAAGCACACACACACCATATGTCCATTGATTTTAACATTTTACGCTTTCAATGCTAAACGTCAAGTGAATTTTTATTTCCAGAACCACTTTCGCTTTTCGTTTAATTTTACCTTTTCGGTTTTCATTTATTGCTGCAACCTTTTGTGCCTGAACGGACTTAATTTACGATTTTCATATTGATCACAAGTAAATGTCATGCGAGTTTAATTTTGGTGTAATATGGTGTTTTGATCACTTTTGGAATGTGTCCTTGTTTTTTGATCAATGTGTGGAGTTTTGTGGTCAGTGTTTGGCACCCATGACACGAGCATACGTTTGACATGCTCGGAATTCTAATGTGTGCATTGATTCAGAGTTTCCTCCTGCGGCAGCAGTAGAGTACTCGCACGCACACGTTGTAATTACAGGCCTACGTTTGTTTGCATGCATCAGTAGTTGAGCTTTCATCACGACGTGCGCGATTAAATACATTTGTAGTTATTAGCGATTTATTTAGCGGTTTATGGTGAAGAAATTGGAGCACGGAAAGTGTAGGAAATTGTGTCGGTGCAGTCAATTTAATACACACTTAATGGGATTCGTAATTTTATAAATTTATTTTTTGCTGTGCTCTCGATGTGAATTTCTCATATTAAAAATGTTGAATGGAAAATTTTATTACTCGTTATTTATTTTCATTTATTTATTTTTTAAATATTTTATTCCTCTTTACTCTTTCGCTTTCCGCTTTATTTAACGCACTGGGCGGAATCAATTCACACTGGCACTAATAGGTATATATTTTTATTAATTTTATTTCAATTTTGACTTTTATTCAGATTTGTGTAAATATTTGTATTTTTATCAATAATTTATGTGCAGATTAAAATACGATTTTGCATTCCACACAATTATTCACGCCTAGGTACAACTGGTAGGCAATTAGCACGGTTATTAAAAAGTTTCCTCACGCCGCGGAAGTCCAACTTGACTGATTAATGAATTAATTATGACGGGGTTGCGTGCGCTCCGGGGTCTATACGTGTAACTAGAAACTACCCTAGGGACCACCGGACCACGTGTGCTGTACGCGCTTTAAGTTGTAAATGTTATCACCTGAGTGTATCACGATTCACTGTGCGAAAACACGTTTAATAAAACTCGATGTAATTGTGCTTTATTTAGTTTACTAGAAGCAGCACGCGTAGTTGGTAGTAATAGCATTGTAATTTGCGCTAAGTGCGTTTGCATCTATTGCTCAGAAAACCCTGACCTTGGCCATTCAACCGTTGGTTGTATGACTAGCGCTTTTTTTTCTAATGGAATTCATTGTCATGGTTTACTCAAGATTACACAATCATAGACGATGTATAATTAATTCTGACTTTGTAGCTTGAAATATACTAGAATCGGACTCATGATGCTCTATGACTGATGATGCATTTGGTTTATAATTTACGTTAATGCGACTTGGCGCGCCTCTGCCTGTCACACACACACACACACACACACACACACACACACACACACACACACTGGTCATGGCTTATTGTTGTTTGGCGGCGTCTTGTTATTGTTTGCGGGTGATCTATTTGTGCGTGCGCGAAGCGTGAACAAGTTGAGCGGGCTCAGACGGCGCGGCGCGACGCGCGCGGGTGTGTGAACTTGATCGGAGGCGCGAAACCAGAATTAGAAGAGTGAGCGGAAGTGTTGTATATGCGTGTAGTGGGTACTAGAGTGCTGGCAGGCTATTGTCAACGTGGTTGAGCATCTCACAACTGACGACGACGACGACGACGGTAGTGATGATTAAAGCCACTCGCACGACGCGCACGCACACATTCTCATTTACTTTCTTGATTTGATCAGGTTGCGTGCGCGAAAGTTTTCTAATCAGGTTTTCCTTTGTCTTTCATTTGGTTTCTGTCCAGTCTAATAAAAAAACGACGTTTTTCAATCGGCTCGTAAACTTGGTAAAGAGTGGAGGCAGGAGAGGTAATGAGAAAAGCGAGCCTGGAGGAAATTGAATCAGTGCACAATCGACACTTCTGATCCCCTAATCCGGTGCGCATTCATTAATTTCGAAAGTGTCTCCCTCTGCGTGCGTTTTTTCCTCAATGATAATTCTTACTCTTGCGGATGCCACTTGCGGCATCCCTCGATATATTCTTTCATTAAGTGTAATCCGAAGCACTTTGCAAGCCACCTCCCTCGGCTTGGCGGGAAATGTCTGAGAGGATATATCCGCCATTCGCTTGCGGCTTGAAGGATGTGTCGATGAGACTTTCCACCCTCTGTTTTAATCATAATCAGCACCACCTCGTGATCAGCCGCAGTCGAATGCTATTTTTTATCTTTCTTTTCAATTTGCAAGTTTTTGTGGCGTCTCTTTGTGCACTTCGTGCTTTTGGCGATGTTTCGCTATTGTCTGCGCTAGTCACCTCTACACGCGTGCGCTTATCGCTGATAATATGCTTGGCGTGAGGGGCGGCGACATGTTTGGTGGCGATGTTTTGCACGCTTTGCACATCCTTTTCTCGGGCACGACACGCCGTTGAAGTGGTTGCGGCGCATTGTCGTGAAAAAGGTCACAAAGGGCACGAAGCAGGAAGCTCGAGACTAATCTCGACGAGCGTGTCGCGCCGGTGCTCAATTTGGGGGGTTGATATCGTCGTGCATGCAGTAGTGGGGTAATAAAGCGGGAAAGTTCAAGTCATGTAGCGATCTACAACTAAATTAATTTTTTACTACCGCCTGGGTGAAGAGCACGCGGACCATTTATTAAATGTACCCGCACGGATGTGTTAACTATGGAGAATGAAAAATTCCGCTAAGCAAACTAAATCTATTCAATGGTTGTGGAATGTTTTACTGGCACGTTGTTATTAATACCGCTGGGATGAGGAAAAGGGGTATGGGTGGAACGGAGCTTTGTGTTTGTCTAACCGAACTAATCGGCACCGTGCCCGCGATCGATTTTCGGCCAAAGATTAATGACTAGCGCGCGGAAGGAAAGCTGAAAATGGTTAGTCAGTTGGTTCGGACGTTTGGACGCTAAGCGATTTTCGGACAAATTGTTTGACCGTTTCCTGTCCGCCTGGTAGCCCTTTGCGTGCGTGCATTTTTAAAACCCGTTGGTGATTGACAGCATTTTGTTGGGTCTAGTGCTGGCATTCCAGTCAAAGTGCTTAAAAGTTGTCGTCATTATTCACATTCAAGTTGTATGTGCAAATTACAAGCAAGACGTGTTTATATATTGCACATGTTTCGACTGGAAGTTGTCGGCGGCGGCAAGGCGGGAATTTTGGGAAAATATTGCAACCTTGTTGGGTTAAACTCAGTTTGCTAGCGGCAGGAAGGCATAAATACTATTCGAATTTCCGGCGGCGCGCCAAGACGGAATGGAAAATCGGCTAGAAATTTGGTTAAGTAATTATTCATAGATACTTTGACCTAGCGATGACTCTAATTTTAATTCATTTGCAATTTACTCGCTTGGATCACGAATTGTACTTTTAAATTTTACCACGGTGTAATACATTACGGAGAATAAATATCCAAATAACATGAATGTATTTACTGTAGAAATAATCTGTTATAAAGCGGTTTAGGTCTTCGGATAGGTAATACCTACTTGACGATTTACATTTCTACACTTTCATGTTCTACACAAATACTGGCGGAAGTTCTCGGCTATATTTTATCGTCTATTGATCGATGGCACACTGGAGGCGCCCGAGTATAGCTAAAATTGTAGAAATCTGTAAAGCTTTAAAAACCGCCATAACTTTTGAAGAGTATTGGTCGGTGTTTTACTTGGTAACTGGAATAAGTTTCTGTTTGCTGCGGTCATTAAAAAGTTGGTTTGTTTCGGCTGGGAAGGAACAAGTGCGAGTGTGGTGGGTAAGCTCGCCGCCGCCCGGCGAGCGCGAGAAGTATCGATCAAGCCTTGGTTTGCAACATCCACCCACACACACACACAGTGCCGCTTTGGCTGCTCCAACGGCGGTTGGTTTGCAAGTCGCGCGTCGCGAATCGTTGTAGCCAAAGGAGAGATTGTGTACGCTTTGAATTTGCTTTTAATTTTTGTGCATTTGCGCACATCTGTGCGCCATTGCCGGCAAACATCTGCGACGCGAAACGAGTATAAAAGCCTTACAATAATTTCATTTTATTCAGTTTATATGTATCGCGTATGGGGATTGAAGCACGCTGTAGGTTAAACCTGAAGGATTGGCGGAAATTTTATTTTGCGATTGTTTGCACTCTGTATAAAATACATTTGCGGAGCAGCACGCGTGTGGAAACGTCGGAATGTTGCTGCCGCTGCTACGTTGTGTTAGATGGTGGCGAATGGACGGAACCCGAAATACAGTCAACCGGGTCATAAATCATCCGGATATGTCGATTTTTACTCGCCGTCGTCTCTCTGCGCTAGTTTGCGCACGAGCGAATCTCGAAACACACCCACGAAAACCGAAGCACTTAGCAGGGCATTCCACGAAATGTAGAAAAATTGCTTGAGCTGTGGAAAATTTTAAATTGATTTTTTTTTGCTCTCTTGAAAATTTGAAATCTCTACCGCTATAATTCACTCGTGCAATTTGCATGTAGATTCTGCTTGCCACGTGGAGTTTGTAGGTCAATGAGTTTAGTGTGAAATGTTTTTGTGTACATGTATTTTTATTTGTGAAGTTATATGGAGGTGGTGCTTGGTTTGATTCATTATTTAGCGCGCTCGCGCGCGACCCCGAGCGTAAATTGCGCCAGAGTGATAATGACGCCAGTTAATTGCGCCTCAAGTTGGCGGCGGGCAATTATGCGAAGGAGCCGGGATGCGCGCGCGTATTTGCCATAATGCATTTGTCATTATTATTATCATCATCGCCACCGTCTACGTTTACCGTGTTTGGCGGTGGCGCATTTCTCATTTTCGCATCTTTGCCCGCCCTGTCTCTTTTCGATTTATGACTATGAGCTAATTGAAATTTATTTTTGCATTTTCAATCTTTTTTTTTCCCACACCCCCTCCCCACACTGAATATTCTATGATTATGATTGTTCGCTGAAATTGTTGTTGGTGAATGTTGAATGGTGGATATTTTTCTTGCAGAATATCAAACAGCACACGACTACAGCGGTCGCTGATTGTAAACTGGGACTTTAATTACCTAGTCGCTTCAATTAGTCGGCTTCAGCCTGCCTACTCGCGGACGACATTCGCATATATGGCTGTCACAGTGTATCCCAACATGGAGATTACATGGTAAGTGCAATTTGCGTAATCACATTTTACACTCACACACCCAATGGGTTAGAATTTCAACAATTGTGCTGTTTTTTCTCTCTTCTTTAAAATATTTCATTCAAAAACCGATTTTTGTGGCGTTCGAGCTGTTGTTTCATCAGTTTTACATTTTTGCATGCAAACGGTGTTTGGTTTTGTTTCCATAAAGTTTTTATTTGTCATCCATTTTTCAAAATTAAACAGCTGTATACTAGCATTGAGTACTTACCTGTACTTACCTGTAGTTACGGGGAATTAAAATATTTGGCACCGTTTTTGGATTTGTGAATTTGTGTTGTATTTGCGTTTGTGTTTCTTTTTCTCACTCTATATTACACACACTCTTTGTTGTATTCTTACCTCATTTCCAACATTTAGATATTGACACTTGTTAAATCGAATCTATGCCACAATAAACTGTAAATATTTGATTGCCATTGAAATATTAGCGCAGCGTTGTGTTTGGATACTCTAATCAAACGTTTAGATAACCATAGATTAAGTCGATTTATGTAAATACTACGATATTACTATATTTGAACAGGAAAGCAAAAAACAACCGTATTGCAGTGTATTTTTAGCAAGAGCAGAACGAATAATATATATCTATTGTATCTAATAAGTACAAGTATAAATTATCAGTAGAATTAATTGATTATTCCAAGTGAACAGTGCATTGTTGCCAAATTGGGATCAATAACATAGTGTTTATATACCTACATATAATATATACATAGATTGATGACCTATAAATGGACTGCGTAACATTTTACTATATATCCCACTAATGTTGTACTTACTGACTTACTTACTTGCTGTTACTATTATTATGTGTATTGTATAGCAAATATGTTTGTAAAATTATTCGATATTAAAAGGTGTTAGAGAGTGTGGCTATATTATTTCGATTTGGATTGATTGCGGCATATCAATTGCCTTATAAAATAATACTCGCATATCAACTTGATTGTAATAATCTAGAAACGAAACAAAAAAACTCCCAACTTTTTTGTTTAGACTTTAAGGATTAAAAATTAATAACTGTGAAATTTAATTGCCTGTTGGAAAGTCGTAATTAAAAGCTCACAAGTTAAAGTGTAGTTAACATTGATGTATTTAAATTACCAACTGTAAATTATCATTAAGATGCAGTGTATAGGTAGCCATTGAATATTAATGAAACTAATCGATTAAATTAGCAAAAAGTTGACGTGTAAAATTGCAGACAATAGTAATTGGTTAATCCATAGATATTGATTTATATATTTTGGCCAATTCCGTTACGCGTATTATAATTTCATTAACTACTATTAATATTAATTATTTACCTATTGGAAGGTGTTATGTTTTGTTTAAATTTAACGTTTGCATGCCAATGAGATGTAAACAAACTATTTGCCACTGATGTTGTCATTATATTTATGTGTGCGTGTGAAAGATGAATTTGAATCTATATTGCGTACAATTTTCGTATGTGGCGGTTGGCGGGTTGCGGACTCTTATCGCATTACATCGTAATCTGTAGGCAACCAATCTCTGATTTAATTTGGGATGTTTAATTAGGACGAATTTATATTGGTAAACACAGACGTTCAAGTAAATTTGATGTAGGTATTTGAAAAGGCTGTGAGTTGTTGAAAATAATACATTTTGTGGTTAGCATTATTTCAGAAAACATGTAGTGACATCTATTTAGTGATCTTTACACTGTATGCTTTTCCCTGCAGTATTCACTTTATTTATTTAACGAAGACGAGATTGAAAGTGAATCGTATTCAATTCTATTTAAATCACATGTTTGAAGTAAATAAGACGTTTTAATTATTAACCGAACAATAAAGTTTCCAAAAGCGGCGGTTGTACATGGCAACACCGCACTTTGCTGCTTAAACATTTTATTGCTGTCAATCACATAACCTTTATATTATTCGCGTTGGCCCTCACGTATAAAAGTGATGTAGATTTATTTACCTAATATCCTAGAAATTATTCTGTATGTGAGTGTGCGTATAGTGAGTGCAGTAAACAGGTGCGATTGCTTGGTTTGAACAAGAAAATTGTAGGTTACTGACTGTTGCACTAGCATTAATCAAAACCGTATGCGTTCTCTGAAAACGTGGAAATGAAAAAGGTGAATGTTTTATTCAGTCTGTATGTGATGTGTGTGTTGTAACAATTGGCATTGGTGAGTGTCGCTCGTGCGCGCGCGTACCGCAATTCGAATCCGTAAATTCGTCCAAACTGCGAGTGTGATGTGTCGGCCATATTATTTTTATAGATCGCACGCGTTTGCCGAACGTAAATTCGACGTCATGCGCGTTTATAAATACGCCGATGATGAGTATTTTTAAAAAGCTCTTCGCTTTTAGATCATCGCTTGCGAGTGGATTGTATTTTTTGCCAAGTTATTTATGCCTAGGAAATTGGTCATTTGAAATGTTTGAACATTTACGTTAAGGACTTTAATCTAGTTGGGGCCAAAAAGTATGCGAGCGAAAGCTCGCTTACACATTCTTTGATGTGTGCGGACAAGAGAATTTATATTTTGGCTTCAGTCGGCATGTTTTGAGGGATATTTTTCTTCAAACGCTAATTAAATTAAAAACAAACCTACGCAACATTTCATTACTTTTACAGTAAATATTTAATATCAAATAATTTTTCTCTTCTCTTATTTTGTACAAATATGATTGAAAAGTACCATGCCACTGGCTTCGCTTGGTTTGGCGTGGGTATAATACATTTTACTTGAATTGTATAGTATATAAAGTTAGAGTTGGAAATAATTTCGACTTGCCGTCGCAACTCTTTTATCTGCCGGGAACGTGCACCCAAAAGTTTGAAAATTCAAATGAGGAAATGAACATTTTCCACATTGCCTGGAATATAGTGTGTGTGGGTATTCGAACACTATCATTGCTTGTGCTGCTGTTTATGCTGACTGTGTATACCTCGTGAAAAACTCTTATCGCGGGCAACTTTAATACTTGACACGCTGGCCACGTATTGTACTCCATGTGAAATTTATCAAGTGTTGTTTTCTCTGTCGCACCATCGAATCCGTAATAAACAATTGGTTTGGCGAATGACGCGAGACAAAAGTAACTGTTATCGGTATTGTTTGATGCTGCTAGATTTTTTTTTGCAAAAAAAAAACTTGTTTTACGCGAAATTTTAAAAGGATTTAAAAACATTGCATGTTTTCCGGTTTGTTGTTAATTTAATTAAGAGGGATGAAGCCCCGCAACACAAAGCTTTGCTAATCCCCGCGCGCGACGTAATTGTAATTCGATATATTTCATTCAGCCACACTTTTTTTTCGTTGCTTCTCTGCGCTGTTGTGTCGCTTGAAGGATTTCGCATAATTGTCGCTGACGATTACGTCATTTATTTATTTTCTTAGTCGACTATCCAATAACTGAGACTGAAATGAAATTGAAAATATTTATGCTTGCAACTTAATCGTGTGGGCAATATCGTGATATAATTTACGTTTATTAATATATCTCGCTGTCGGTTTGTATAAATAAGTGCATATTCACTGTGCACCAGTTTTGGACGCTGCGCATTAATTATTTTTAATGCGTGCTGGCCTACACACATCTAGTATGAATTGGAGCGCCAATTTCGTGATTGATTTTCGAAAACCTACGCGTGTTCTCTATTTTTTTAAAAATATATTTTTATTTTCTGAGAGGTAATTTAATTATGTGTGATGGACACGTGAGTGTCAAAGATTTCAGTTTGTTTTACTTTCAAAACCAACACGTTTGCTGTGGTTGTTTTGTTTTATTTCGGTTTTTCAGCCTGTCTTATCTGTATAATGAACGACGTGCATTTGATGTAATTAATGACGATGATGCATTTGCATATTAAGCTCTTGCGCTGGTGTCAAATTTGCAGCCAAAATGTTAGGCACCTGCAGGCGGGCTCCAGGGGAGTTGAGTGAAAATCAAGCATGAAATTGTAATTACCGAAATGTCTACACAGAGAGAGAGAGTCTGCACCTTTGAACGTCTTTACATCATTGGATATTGTCAACGCCATTAATCGCAGCCCCTGAGCGTCTGATTAATGCTGCTCGTGTGCCCAATTTGAAACTAAGTGAATCCTTGCAAGGCTTGCCACTTTGCGACAGATGGCGCGCGCTTGCAAGGATTCCGCCCGCGAATCGTCCGCTTTGCGCAGTTTACCGGACGAACCCTAGATGGCCCAACAACTCCGGGAATTTTATATATCCCCATGCTGCGCACGAAGGAAATCGATTGTAGTAATATCTGGTTTTTAAATATTAACGATGTTACCGAAGCTTGTAATTATTGCGGTCGATTTGAAAGTCTTTATTCCATACTATTACACAAAACTTTTTTTTTCTTACATGAGACCTGCGTTGGTGGTGGGTATGATTTCGGCGCCGAGTGCCGGCGACGAGGACACGGCGCGCGTGTTTATTGATTTAATTTTATTCCTTGAGGGCGCAAGCGTGTTTATGATATTTATTGCCGCGCCAGTATTTATCCGTCTCCTTTGCTGCCTGCCGCCGCTTTGGTATTATCTATTGGTACCATTTTGCGACGTCTCTTTGCGCCGCCCGGGCGGCGGGCGTTTAAGTTTAATATCCCTGGCAACAACACAAAAAAATGTCTAATGGCTGGGATTCTCGAGCTTCTCTAGGTTTTCTAGGTTCTTAGGCGGTGGGTTGAGTTGTGTTTAATTCATACGAATTGCAGGCACTTAGCAGACGGTGGTGATGGAGGCGGTCGCTTTGCTGCGCACCTTTTGAACCACCTTTTTTTTTTGGAAAGCACGCGAGCGTGAGCGGAATTGATGCCTGGAAAACCTTCGGAAAGCTATCGAAGGTCCTTTTTCAACTGACGCCTTGGGATTCTTGCGGATGGACTCGTTTATTATTTAAAAAAAACGCGAACACTAGCAGCATCTAGTGTGGTGACGCGTAATTCACCCTTAAACTAGCTTCG